CTCAAGGCTGCGCGGAAATTCTTCGAGGGCAGTTTACGTGCGAACGCACGTTCCGTTCATCTTTCTCCGACGTGCTTTACGCACCGGCTTCTTCCTCCCCCTTTCCCCCCTTTCCGCGGATCTTATACGCGTGCGAAACAACGCACACCGCAATGCGTGCAAACGCGCGCGCGCGCGACTGAAGGAACGAACGCGGCGAATTCACGGTGGAACAGCGGCATCCTGCCGCCCGTGCGGATAGACGTCGCGATAAAACGCGGTTAACGCGGAAATTAACCGTTATATCTTTGCACTTATTTACTCTTACACCGGGAGATAGGCCTAGTGAACGCGCCGTATCGTCTTTTACATAATGCAATCGAGCTTCCCCTCTCGTCGCTGCCGCGCGAGACGCGCGTACTCGCGTAGACGCTCGCGTCGAGCGGCCGATCTGAGGATCCGTTAAAACCATTCCTGCCAGGTGTCTTGAATTACTTTCGTGCCGTGCTGCGCGCAAGGGAAAGACCCACTTTTGTTCGCCGAACGGAGACTAACGGGAACGGATCCCGCCGCCGTCGCGCGCGCGCGCGCGCGCGCGCGACCCGTGAACTAACGATGCCTCCATTTTGCGGCCGCCGGAGTCCTCATCTGGGATGTCATCTTCCGCCGTGATCGATGATGTCGAGAACTTCGCGGTACATCTTTTACGGTGAGTCCTTTGCTCCTTTCTACACGCCTCCTCGTTCTCGTTGAAACAGCTGACTTTGGGAACACTTGGAAATAACTTGTACTTATGGTCGAGCGGATAAATGGATGGCGGAGATATATCGCGCCCGTACAAATGTTGACTTGTCCGCGCAAATTAATTGTTCCATCGATTTAGTGACGCAATAGTTTTCAGCGATACGATAGCAAGCTCGGTCAGCTAACTGGGCCAGCGTAATAATGACAACGGTATTATATGTGTGCACAACGTTTCACGCTCGCGATGTATCGCTGATCTTTGATAGCACAAATGTCAAATCAATTTTGATGTATGTATTAAATGTGTTTCGAATGTTTAAAAGAACGATCTCATGTTAAGACGAACGAAAATTAAGATCTGAACAGTTGAACACAAAAACTGTCATATATGTTAGAAGCTATAAAAATGATATAAATTAAATTAAACTATTTGAGAACCAGCAATATATGTTGCATTCACAAATTACTGTGCGTTTCGTTTTCAAAAACATCACGGATGTAGATTTATTATTTTCCGAAAAAAGGAAAAGAGAGAAATAAAACAGAAAAAGAATGTAACACAAGTACGTCGATCGATTGATTATTATAGTGCACTTTTTCCACGATATCATATTCGAATTAACAAAATGCAGCACTAAATTGCTGAGAAATAATAAATACTGTTCAGAAGATTTCAGTTTCGATACTTTCAAGTTCGAGAGAAGCAATTCTAAGCGTTTCCCGTGCTCGATTTCTGCTTTTTATCCACGACATAATAGACCAATTCTCATCTTACACATCTCATACACTGAGTTCATTCATAATGCGAACATGTCCTGCGAACATATCTCACCCGAAGAAGGGATGCGAGAGAAAAGGGGCATGACAGTTTGAGGATCCTCGCAACGCAGGAGCCGCACCGTCTCCGTCAGCATCCACCAGATGACTCCCATTCTCGGCAGAATCCGCGAGATGCTGGCGCGGAGAGAGCCGGCGTTTCCATCTCCCGTCCGCCGTCCTCCGAATGCCCCCGCTGATGTAGCGTAAACCGGCGCGAGCCGACCAATGGCGTGACTTCTTCATCGTTGCGCGGCGATCGCTATTGGCCGGCGCTGAGTGAACTCCTATCGAACGGGCGTCGGAGGGCCGCGCCTCGCGAAGGCTGCGCTCGCGGGGTGAGTGCACTTCCCCGCGGGAAAAAGACAGAAACGAGGTGCCGGCGAGAAAGAGGAGGCGAGCGGGAGATAAGCCTAGCGCTCTCGGCTGCTGCCGTCACTGCTTCTTCTTCGTTAGTATCGTTTCCAGCCGTCTATCCGTCCGGAAAGTCTCTGATCGATATGACAGCTTCCTCCTCCCATGCCGCTATGACAGCTTTCTTACATGCGCGCTACGCAACGCGTTCCATTCGCCGCGAATGAAACCGTCTTTAGGCCTCGGCAGAGGGCAGCTATTATTTGCGATTGAATTAGATTGATTTTGATTGAATCGACAGCTTCGAAAAGATACACTTGCTTGTAGGTGCTTCAACTGAATTTTTACATTATACATATAGTTTTAATATAAGATGGTGCAGTTGAAATGAGAATTTGCCACTCCAAAGACTTTTATGTGATAATATTTAAAATCAATAATAAATCGTTACTATTACAGCAATTATTTTTAATTGAATTAGATTGGATTTAATTGAATCGGCAGCTTCGAGAAAAGGACATTGTCTCCATAAATTATCCTAAATATAAGATGATGAGATCAAGATAAAAATGTTATTCCAAAAACTATGTAAAATATTTAAATAATAAATTCTACGTAAGGATTAATCCGCGCATATTATCCTTCCGATTCAATTAACTGGCTTTCAAGAGGATTTTTTAAGCTTCGAGAATCACTGTGCGATGATAAGCCGCTTAATGCAATTAAAATTATACTAATTCCGTTTTCTTGTAATTTTTAATTGAAAAAATAATACAGAAATTTACATTTTCCACTGTTTTCGACCGCTAACGAAACAAACAAATTGTACAACAAATTGTAACAAGTAGCATATCGCTGGCAAGAGTGATTTTTAAGTAATATATCTAATAAAATTCCGCGCGACCATCCAAGCAAAAGAACAGACACCGCGCGCCCATACATGCGTTAATGGAAAATTTCACAGCGAATGCTATTCGCTCTTTACTTCTCGCATGTTCCGATTGCGGGTGCAATCGCGACTCGTGCGGGTGCACGGCGGCATGCGAGATTAACGACAACTCGCGTTTAACGGGAGGTTCGATTTGTAGTTGCGGCTTGATCGCGCCACCCGCGGTTAATGAGCCTAATGGGACATCAGGAGCGAAACGACTCTGTCGCACGGAGACGCGATGAATTTTCGCTCCGCCGCGCTCGCGTGTGCACGCCACCGCTGCCGCCGCCGCCGCCGCCGCCGCCGCCTCTTGTCGCCGTCGGTTCGGCCAAATATAGTTGACCGAGCGCAAACCAGGCAAATCCAGAAGAACTGGTCCTGACGGACAATGTATCTAACTGTCACTCGCGTTCTTCAGCCTACAATTAAAAGGCGCTCATTCCGTGCGCGGCGAATCGCGCACGCGCGTCCGCTGAACGGAAACTCATTAGCCGTGATTTATAAGCGAGCTATTATCCTTATTATACAGAATTTATAAGCGAGCTGTTATCCTTATTGCACAGAGTTTACAAGCGAGCTGTAATTCTTATTACACAGAATGTAACAAAACTGAATCTGAGATTCAATCTCCAAATTCGAAAGATTCAAGTTTCCAAAATTTTGCTTCTTCTAATTAAAAAATCATTGTCTCGGTACATTTAATAGATAATTATACTATAACTAAAAAATTATACATTATCAATCGCACTGTCTAAACTGTCCATATTAAAATTGCAACATTCTTGGATGTCACAGGATTAAAAATTCTGCGATATCACTTTTTGAAAATGATTTAAGAAATTAAATAGTGAAAATTCTCAAAATTTTAACTTTGCCTGTATTAAACGTAAAAGGATAATTGTATTCTCAATGCGATGCGGGAGATAAATTAGAAACGAACGCGATCGACAGTCCTCGATGAGGACAGAGTGACAAACTGGCGATATTAAAATCGCCGCGGGACACACGTTTTTCGCCAGCTGGCGTCGTTTAAGTAATAATTTGTACCTGTATGCGTGACTGACGCGTGACTAACCACTCGCGTGTCATGTCATTTCTCTTCCCGGGGAGCTCGCTTCCCATCGGGATACCCCGATTGCAAATTAATTGAGAGTGAAATGTGAGCGGGCGAGCGAACGCTTTTGCGACCGAGACGTCGCAGCTAATCATGAATAATGAATATCGTTCCAGCGCAGTTTAGAATGTTTCCGGAAACACGAAATCGGTGATGTCACTCGCAAGAACGCGAGGTGAGAAAGTGGAATAATTCGATACTTGTGGGTGTGTGACACATTTTACGACAGCATTATGCTGATTAGATGGAAAGAACTTTTCTTCCAAAATAGATGAAAGTGTATCTTCCGTTTTCGGCTTTTTAATTCGATAAAGAATTCTTTTACGCTTAAAGCTAATTTTTCTTACCATCTTTTGCCGAGATGGAAAAGTATTTCCGAATTGTCCACCTTTGGCTTTTTTAATTCTTCTTTCTGGAAATCATGCAATTCTAACTTTTATACTGTTCACATTGCAATCTCGAAACTTTCTTCGCCGAAACAATTTTTTCCCAACATTGCGATCAATCTGTGACGAATAATCGCATTGACAACAGATCCTACGGGCGAGTTAAACCGGAGAGATGTAAGAAGAGTGAGATAAAGCAGCTTAGATAAAGCGGCTTATGCAAACGACGAAGGAGGAGTAATAAATTACACGCAAAATACTTCAAACAATACGTTTTCCGAATCAGGTGGGCTCTTCAGGAAAACGCAGCGCGAACAAACAACATTATCATCGCCAGCAGTAGCGGCAACGTGACCATGGACGATATCAACCACCAGCCGATGAAAGATAGACAGACAAACGGACGGCAGAGTGCGACGGAGCGAACTACTTTCTCGTGGCAGACGAGAGAAAGGGACGGGAAAAAGAGTGAGAGAGAGTAAGAGGGGGGGGGGGGAGAGAAAAGGGACAATGGGGAAAAGCCGTAAAGGCGCCGGCGCGGCGCGCAGACGCCCGGCGTCCCGACGTCTCTATCCCTCGCGAGCCGGCACCGCAGACCCCACCCCGTCGCCGCCCGGCGAGATCGCGGCACGAGGGGCTCCAACCCTCCCTCCTTCCCTCGTACTCTACCTCTCCGCCGCGGCGACGTCCGCCCCTGGCCCTCGGGTGGCCGTCCCAGGATCGTGATATTATGCCGATGGGGAGCAGCTTCCATCTCGCACGAGTCCACCGCGTCCTTCGCCGCTTCCTTCTCGCACCCCGGCGCGACGTGCTCGGAGAGAGTTTTCCGCTCTCGAGCGCCGGGTTTCCTGCCCCGCGTCAGTTTCCCGCTCGCAGGTTTTCCGCGCGCGAGTTCCGCTCGCGAACGCGAGAGTCCCTCTCGCGAGTTCCTCCGCGCGTGAACCTCTTCCGTCGCTCTTCTTCCCTCGCGAATCTTCGAGGACGCCGATTTTCTTGCATCGTTCGCGCGGCTTCCGCGCTATCGAGCTTTCGTCGGTTGCCAATTCATCGCGAATGAGAGTCTGCTGATCAAAAGAAAAGTGCAAAACAAAGTGCCCGGTCCGACAAGATGAATCTAAAGCGGTGATTACTATTGTGACGTGCTGATGTTTCACATCTTGAGTCCCGAGGAAAAAAGAAGATCGACGTGGCTTCAAAGGATCGGGAGGTTTAATAAGAATGCGGAGCTTCAAAAAGAGGATGAACTGGTGGGTGTAGAAATAGAATGACGAGAATAGAGCGGCGCAATTGTCCGACGGCACGTGACAATGACGATTTCGTTTTCAGAGCCCGAAGATCTAAAAATCTAAAAACAGCTATATGTGTAATACATATAATCTTTGGCAGCTCAAAAATCTGAGACGCTGTAAAATCTGTAAAAGTTTAAATAATCGCGGAATAAAGATGGAAAATCAAAATAAAATCTCGAATCTAAAACTATGACATTTTATTGTCTGAGAATCTGAAAACTTATAGATTTCAAAGTTTGATGATACAAATTTCGGAGTCAATTTAATTGAAGAATATAAAAGGATGTGTAAAATTGTGAGAATCTGATGCTTTATAACTGCAAATTCGAGGATTTCTCAAAGTCGGATTGCCAAGATTCTATTTTGTATTCTATATAATATTTTTAGGTGTAAGCAGATGACCAAAAGATGATGTTTATTCCTCGAAAGTCTGACTGACAATGTTGACAGTTTTTCAATATGATACCGCGCTCGACTCGGCATATACGATGTTCATAAATATATTACGAACCATTACATAGTATAATTAATTGTATAAAAAGAAGCACGAGAAGAATTTGGATCAATGTGCAACGTAGAATTAAATTTATTATTAGTATGACTTTGTGAGAGACGGAAGTTAAATTCGAGTACCTCACCAACTCCAACTGTGATTCAATCGGTGCCTAAGAGTGTTAGTAATTGGGTTAACCAGCACTTTACTTTGGATGATCGGCTGTCACCGCAACCGCTCTTTTGCTAACCGCAGTGGAAACGATCTCATTCAAGCTTTCTGCACTCGAAACGCTTCCTCTTTTCTTCCGTAATGGTTTAATGAGCCACTACGTAAATTGTTAAAAGTAACAATCTTGTATAAATAAAATCGCGTGTAACAGAAACTGCGTACATTGAAAAATAAATTGTTAGCACGATTAGATATGTTTAGTGATGTAATCATGTTTGTAGTTCGAATGTTTATATATTTAAATCAAGCATACGTAGTTTAATTTTACGTTGATTTAAATTTTTGTCTCAAATCATGATAATTAGTAACAAATCTTTGAGCG